GTCATACAGATATTGAGTGCTTTTGTGATGCTGATCATGGTGGTTCAAAGGTCACAAGAAGATCTACTACACGATATTGTGTCTTTGTGGGAGGAAATTTGGTGTCCTAGAGGAGCAAGAAGCAGAATGTGGTGTCATGATGAAGTGCAGAGGCAGAATATAGAGCTATGGCACAATCTGTGTGCGAAATAGTCTAGATACATTAATTACTGAAGGAGGTTGGTCTTAAAACCTCATTACCAGCAAAACTGTGGCGCGACAATAAAACAGCCTTACATATAGCTTCTAATCCAATGTTTCATGAGCACGCAAAACACATTGAGATTGATTGTCATTTTGTTCGAGATAAGATCAAGAAAAACTTCATCTCAACAGGATATGTGAGATTCAGTGATCAATTGGGTGATCTCCTTACTAAAGCTTTGAATGGGGTTCGGGTTGACTATCTTTGTAACAAGTTGGGCATGATTGACATCTATGCTCCAACTTGAAGGGGAGTGTAAAGATATGTAAATATATTGTAATTAATATAGGATCAAATCAGATATGATAGGATAGGATATTATCTCCTAATAATGAGCCATTAATGCCCCAAGCTCCTCTCTTGTGTATAAATTCCCCTTTATGATCATGAATATACAAGAAATATATTCCATATTATTCTCTGTTTAATATAATCAAAAGCCAAAAACTTGAACTTTTCAGTTTTCAACGTGGAGAGGAAAAAAAAAAGAGGTTGCAAAGAAAAAGAAAGGTATTCAAGTGGATTATATCTTGATCCAATATTTTGATTGTTTTAGTAATCATTTAATGTTTATGAACACATTCTAAGAAGAAGAAAAAAAATTAACTAATAAAATTAAACAACTTTACATAGAAAATATTTAGGTCAAGTTTTTTATATCTATTTTGTCAAACTCTTAGTGAACATGTGTTCCAAATTTTTTTTATGTGGGTTTATAATTAAATACTATTAAATGCTAATATTTTAAAAATAGTATATATGATTACGTATAATTAGACAATTTGACATAATAAATATAAGAAACTTGATATAAGTATTATCTATTTTATATTTACATATATTTTAATTTTAATTTATTCGATGCATTTGATTAAATGCTTTTAATAATATATTAACTCCTTTTATTTTTGTTTATTATTTTTCTTAAACTTATCAAATTATATATATATATATATATTATAAAACTCATGTATTTTTTTAATTATTTTACATTTAAACTTATCTTTTCATTACTTATCTGAACAAGCTACAATTTATCAAGCTGACTTTTATAAGAATCAATCCAAACATAAATCATATAATAATTTGTTTTCCTTATGATATAAATTATATTACACTAACTTACTTTTACAAAAATCAAATGAAATGAAAGTTAGTTTTACCACTACTAATTTAAACACACCCTAAGATAGTAGAAAGCTTCAAGTTTTGCTACGTAAGTTAAAAAAAAAAAAAAACAAAATCCTCTATAGCATCACTTTAACCCCGTCACTATTTTTAAGGGATTAATGATTGCAATACTTTTTTTATTAATTAACAAAATGGGCTTTTCTTAGCTGAAAAAGTATACTTTTGGATTTTTCTTTAGTTTGAAAACTGAATTAGCCGATACTACCCTTATAATTATCACTTTCATTCGAATTTATCCTTACTTTAGGGAAGACCTCAAAGGGTATTCAATTTTTTTTTTTTGGGCCAGAACCTCAGAAGGGTATTCATTATTCAAAGATTTCATATCTCTCCCCCGCGAAAAGCATAGTCTTTTCAGGAAATCAAAACAACCTAATTAATAAAGTCCCATAATAAAATGTGCCATATTTATTATTATTACCTAACTTAATCATCTTTTTTATCCAATCAAAATAGTTAAATATATTTTATATTAAAAATTGGAGGAATAGTATGGAATCCCAAATAGTTAAGAAAATTACACTCCTCAGTGTTGCAGTAGTTAATGAGAAAGGACTTTGAAATTACGTGTTAAGTTTGGTAAGCGATTACACATAGCTTTACTGGAATATTGTGCGCGAATGCTCATATTGAATCTTTGGTTTTATTATTTTTAGAAAAAATAATTCTTTTAATCATTTTACCGCATACAAAATAGTGTGTCAAGAATAAAAAATTCAAAAATTGTACTAATCATGAGCTATTGCAACTTGTTTCTGGAATTTTGTGCAGCAAACAAAAGTGACTGTAGTTTTAATCTAAGTGAAGGTTAAAATATATGTTTAATCTCAAGTATGCCTGTTTAATTCAAATATAAATGTTTAGTCTTCTAAACCAAGGTTACATTGAATTTTAGTTTAATCTCAAGTATATCAAGTGTTTTTTTTTTCTTAGTCTTAATATCGTTAGTATCACTTAATGAAAAATTTTGATGCGCTAAATTTAAATGATAAATCTGTAATTATCTGGTGTTATAACTTTGCAATTATTTGGTGCTCTAAATTTTATTTTTTGAATATAATATTTTTATATTTAGTACATGCTTTGTTAGTATTTAAATTTGATATGAATTTAAAAAATTAAACGTACGAAGCTTAAAATAAAATAATAGATATTGACTTAGAAATTGATCATCTATAAAAGAATGGGAAAAAGACACTAAAATACCCCAAAACTAAATGACAAATGAGGGTATCTGAGTTTCAAAATCCCAATTTAGACCCTAGTATTTTTTTTAGAATTTTTAAATCTTCTAAAATTACATAAATGCCATTCACTTTTTTTTTTTTAAATACTACCACCTCAACAATTCTGTCTACCAGAGGTCCAATGCCGACGACCCTACCAGTGACCAACCACCGAGCTCTGGTGACTACTCTTTCTTATATATTGACTATTCTTTTTTAGCTATTGACTATATTTACTTTTAAACTCTAATAACATGTTACTTGTCGCCGGAACTCCGGTGACCACTCTTTCTTATATATTAACTATTCTTTTTTGGCTATTGACTATATTTATTTTAAAACTCTCATGACATGTTATCGAAACTTCAGTGATCGGTCACCAAAGTTCCGATGGCTACTCTTTCTTATGTATTGATTACTCTTTTTTAGCTATTAACTACATTTACTTTTAAACTCTGATGACTATTCTTGTTAAGTTATTGACTACTCTAGTAATGTGATTTACAACTCTTGTATAGTCAATAACTATATAAAAGTAGTCACCGGAACTTTGAAAACAAAGGTAGTCAATAGTTAAAATAAAGTAGTCAATAGCTATATGGAAGTAGTCACTGACAGTAAGGACAATGTTGTCATTTTATCAAATTTAAAAATTCCAAATTGATACCTGGGACCTGAATTGGGATTTTAAAATTTATCTATCTTAATTTGTCGTTTAATAATTTTTAGGGTATTTTACTGGCTTTTTCCCTAAAAGAATTGTTTCTTTGTATACTTGGACATAATAATTTGTGCGTGTATCATATAATTTTCATAAGATGAAATTTCATTTTCAAAAAATTATAAATTTTCACTATTTATTGCATGTTTTTCCTTGAATGTTTTGGTCTTTTGGATGATAACTCCAAAGATCGAACCTTATTTTAAGAAACATGATTACAGGGCATTTAGAAAATTTGATTCAAGGTCCTTAATTAATTGTCAAATAAAAATAGGATTGTTGGATGTGTAAATATGCCAACTGAGTAAGCAAAGTCACTTTCAAATATTTTATTTCAACGGTTAAAGATTTTGAAACACACACACACACACTGCAAGTTCCTGTTTGATTGGTTGAAAATACTGAGTTCTTGCAAAGAAAAAGACGAAATTTTTTGGATACCCATAGAATAAAGATAATAAAATAGATACTAACACTAAAGTATAAATAAAATATTAACATAGATAATTTTAATTGTATAACAAAAAATAAAATAAATTTATTTGGTTACAAAATTTATTTTTTATCCAACATTTTTCAACCTGCCTATCTTGGGAAAAAAAAACTACAAGTGTTGCTAACATCACTTTAAGCATGTCACTATTTTTATGTGATTAGTGAGAATGATACTGCCTCCAGTACTTAATGAGTTTAGTAATTATACATATCAAAATTTTCATCAAATAGTAATTTTAGCTGATACACATAATTAGTAAGGGTATTTTAAGAAAAACAACACATATTTATTACAGATAACTAACTTAAATAATTTTCTTATTCTACTCAAATTAACCAAATAGTTTTTATATTAAGGATTAGATATAATAGTTTTTGTTGATTAATTAACAAAATGGGCTTTTTTTTTAGCTGAAAAAAATGTACTTTTGGATTTTTCTTTAGTTTGAAAACTAAATTAGCCAAAACTACCCTTATGATTATCGCTTTCATTCGAATTTATTCTCATTTGAGGGAAGACCTCAAAAGCTATTCCCTTCTTTTTGGCCAGAACCTCAAAAGGGTATTCATTATTCAAAGATTTCATATCTCTTCCCCACGAAAAGCATAATCTTTTCAGGAAATAAAAAAAACCAAATTAATAAGGTCCCTTAATGAAATGCCACCTTTTGACCAAGCTTCATGCCTTAGCGTACACACAAAACCCAACTCTCCTACATATGACGGCGTTTATTTGAAAACTTTGGAAGCAGTATTTCATAATCTTGGAAGCATATATTATCTTCAAAATTTGATGTTTAGAGTTTATTTTTAAAAAAAAAAAAAAAGCAAAGCTTACAACATTTTGCTATAGAGTTCATCTAATGAATAGTTATTTGAAAAAATGTTATTTGTATCATGTGGAAGCTGAATGTCATGATATTATTAGCACATTGTACTGTACCTCAGTTACATAAGAAAATGCCTATATATACAGTATAAATGAAGAAAATAACTACAAATTGAACAACACAGGGCAAAGAAGCTGAATCTACGTTTTTCTTTTTCTTTTTTAGCAACACGTATTAAAAGAATAAAGACGATGCAAGAGCAAAGTATACATAAAGGACATAGTTGTAATTGACCAAGATATGAATCTGCTTATTCACGTCAAATGCTTATTATATTACAATAATCGAAATAATAGCAAAAGAAAAATAAGCAATGAATATTTTCTTTACAATGAATCAAATGTTAAAAATTTAAAATGCAAATCCAAGGGACCATCACTACACCACATAATGATCTACTAGAAAGTATTCATTGCTTCTTCAGGTTTAGGAAACCAAGCAATGGTCTCTTTGGCACAGGAATGAACTTGACGAGCCAACCAATAGGCCAAGAAATAGCTGCAATTATAATGCATGCACCCCACTGCCCCCAGTTCAATCTCTCAGTATTTGCAAATTTCTTCAGAAACTCCACCATCAACACCTGAAGCACAATGGTTATCCCTATAATCCCCAAAAACAACTTGTTCTTGTGAATCCCTTGAAACACATTCTTCTTCTCCAACTTCCTTGCGTTAAACTCATTGAACACTTGGCATAACACAAATGTGTTGAAAATCAAAGTGTCATTTACCCTTGAACTCACCTCAAATATGGCCTCACCCTTGAACTGTAACGTCAATAGAATTGTGATCTGGTATAAAGCTTGGGCTAAGAGATTTCTCCACATGATGTTGGTGATGAGAGGCTCAGTTCTACCCACTGGGAGATTGCCCAATAACTCCCTTGTAGGCTTCTCTGTTCCTAAAGCAAGAGCACCCAAAGTATCCATTATTAGGTTCACCCACAATAGCTGCACTGCAGTTAATGGCACTTCTCCTGCTGATACTGCTGCCACAAAGTTAATTGCAAGAGCTGCAACATTTACCGTAAGCTGAAATTGAATGAACTTTTGGATGTTGTTATAAACACATCTTCCCCATTTAAGAACTGTGACAATTGAGGCGAAATTATCATCCAAGATAACAATGTCTGAGCTTTCCTTTGCGACTTCAGTGCCTTGAATCCCCATCGAAAGTCCTATATCAGCTTCCTTTAATGCCGGAGCATCATTGGTGCCATCTCCTGTGACTGCAACTACATGACCTTTCTGTTTGAGGCATTGAACCATAAGGAGCTTGTCAAAGGGAGAGGATCTTGCCATAACACAAATTTTCTCCACTTTGTTTAGTCTTTCCTTGAGAGACAAGTTTCGAAAAACCTCACCTTCGATGACTGCTTCAGATGTGTCTTGATTAGGTTGAAGGATGCCGCATTCTGTGGCTATGGCTTTGGCTGTGAAAATATTGTCTCCTGTGATCATTTTGACATTCACTCCCGCTTGTTGGCAATTGTTTACAGCGTTCTTGACTCCTGGACGACATGGATCCTTAATACCAACAAGTCCTAAGAGGGTGAGCCCTTCTTCTCTTACATCTTTGATTCCTCTATCATCTTCTTCAGCTACTTCTGTATGTGCAAAAGCAATACACCTAAGGCTGCTGGCCGCCATCCCTTGAATGATTTGCTCAAAGACTAGCTTTTTGTCATCGTCAAGATCTTTCATATTGCCAGAAGCATCGTAGTACTTTGAACACAACCTGAGCACCATCTCAGCTGCTCCTTTCCAATGTGCATGGATTTTGTCGTCTGCCTTCCTTTTAATCAAAACCCCACTCCTTTTCTTCTTTGAATTGAAGGCCTCCACATGAAGGATGGTAAAACTTTGTGTCAATTCCTCCATGTTCATGCCCAAATCAAGAACAGCCCATGAAAGAATGGCCTTTTCTGTTGGACTACCTGAAAATTCATATTCAGAATTTTTTGTTTTAGACTTGTAAACACTACCTGTGGTGTTAAGGGCAACCCCTTCTTTGATTAGTTGTAGGACATCCGAATGAACTGATGATTGATGAGGTTCCTCTTCCACAGGTTGTTGTCCAAGCCAGAACTTCGTCACTTTCATCTCATTAAGCGTGAGTGTGCCAGTCTTATCGGTACAAATGGTTGTGGCTGATCCCATTGTCTCGCAGGCAGAGAGCTTCCTCACCATAGCCATATCAGCCATCATCTTCTTCATGGAATAAGCAAGTGTCAATGTCACAGCCAAAGGAAGCCCTTCTGGAATCGCGACCACGACAATAGTAACGGCAGCAGCAACGATTCCCACAACTCCATTCATTATGTCATCAAACTTAGCGCTGCTTTCGTTGAACTCCTTATTCCCATTCTCATCAGTTGTGTTTCCTGTGAAGTAGCGAACTAACATAACAACAAGAACAAGAAAAGCCACTGCCAAACCAACCTTGCCAATGGCAGAAGTAAGCTTATTGAGGCGTTCTTGCAGAGGAGTTTCTTCATTATTGTCTCTGCTTATGGAACCCATCATTTGACCCCATGTTGTGTTGGTACCAACGGAAGTGACGAGCATCTTGGCAAACCCATCAGCCACCTTTGTCCCCGAAAACAAAAATGGGTTTTTTCCACCATTAATCTCTACGTGGTCGCTCTCACCTGTCATGCTTGACTCATCAACTTGCAGAGAATGGCCATCCAGGAATAAGCCATCAGCAGGAACTTGGTCTCCAATCTTCAGCCACACAACATCGCCCACCACGATGTCGTATATGGAAACTTGTTGTCGGCGACCACTTCGTACAACATCGACTTGGATGTTATTGCTAACCTGGGACAGCTTGTCGAATTGTCTGCGCTGTCTGAAGTTACTGATGGAAGATACAGCAATAACTAGAAAAACAGCAACGAAGATGCTTCCACCTTCGTACCAGCCTTCCTTGATTCCATTCTCTTTGATGCCGAAGCCAAGAGACAGAGCAGCACAAACCAAGAGAATGAGAATGGTGGGGTCCTTGAAGCCTTCAATCACAAAATGAAAGAAGCCTCTTATAGGTGGTTTGGGATAGGTGTTAGATCCAAACGCGTCGCGCCGTCGCATGACGTCACTGGGATCATCATCATCATCACCGCCTTTGACTCCATTTTCAATGTCGGTTTTTAGAGCCGAGACCACGCCATGCACCCCACCAATATTTTGCAGGGTCTCTTCATTTTTCTCCTTCACGAGATTGGTGAGTGTGTTTTGGCTAACACTGAAGAAGGAATGATCTGTGTCTAAATCGATCACAGTATAGGAGGAACAGGGTGACAGCTTAGGCTTGTTCTTGATGGTGGTGGGGGAGGGAAGCAAAGTGGATTTGAAGTGAGACAAGAGAGCTCTGTAACAATATATACTAACAAATGCAGAGCGCCATTTTTTGTTGGATTTGCTAAGATTCTTTGCGGATGGCAGAAGTGTCTGTATTGTCTCCATACCTGGCAAAAATGCCATTGACATGTTTGCTTTAATAGGTAGAAACTCAGAAACCTGTATGGGCAGTGAGCTATTATGAGGCTATCTAGAAGCTTAATAATATAAATGCATATATATGTATCTAAGAGATGACGTCTCAGGCTCTGTGTGTGTGTGTGTGTATAGCAATGAAATAGAGGAATGCAAAGTGTAACGTTTCTGAAACTGAAGAATGAATAGCAGGATGGTGAATATGCAGAAAGCTTCTTGAGGGCTTAATAGCGTGTGTGTCTATAAGACCTTATTTATGGATGCTATATATGAAATATACATATATATATATATATATGAACAAAAGAACTAATATTATATGTATCTATAAAGCTGTATATATGAAATATGAAGACAGGAGAGTTTCTGTACCTGAAGAATAGAAGGAGAGATAGCAGAGAATTTGAAATGCAGAGTAAGCTGAAGAAGTGAAAGCTTAATGGAGGGTGTGGATATATATGATATACAATGGGATGACGATATGTATTTATATGTGGGCAATAAGTTTCCCTGTAGGCGAAGTCAGGTCGAAATGAAGAATTCTTTGCAAATAAATAATTATTACACGCGGAACAGTATTTGATACGAATCTCTGGATTTGCTGTAACAAAACAAGGAAGAAACGTTGAGAGTTTCAATTACGAGGTTTCGCAGGAAGGTTCAGAGTTGCGTGTCTCTTTTCGTCCCTCTTTGCTTCGAAAATAGGTTCAAAGTATTCTGACTTCAAATTCAAGTTTATAGGTAAGAATATTATTCACATAAATATCCATATATTAAGAAATACTCCTCCAGTCGTTGTTGAGTTGGGTTTGGTTCTAAATATAAGACCCATTTTTCATATTTATCAATTTTCTCTAAACTACCTCTATGGATACTTCTTCAACCATAATCAAATAGAATAGGGAGATGAAGTATTAAGAAAAATGATTATGGTGTTTTAGGAAAAATATATCACTTTTCTTATAATTAACCAACTTACCTAACTTCCTTAATCTAATCAAATTAGTTAAATGGGTCTTATATTAAAGACCGGAGGAATATTTTACTACGTATTGCTATGTGTAATTAATTTGAATTTTTGTAACTATCGATCATCTGCATTCTGCATGAGTTTCTTCGCACGATGATTATTTGGTAAATTTTATAATAATACTAGTATACGTTTTTCATTTATAAATTTCACACCTAAATTTTTACTTGCATATACACGACAAACGACATGAACGCGTGTTATAGGTAGGATCGATGTGGAAAAGAGAGAGAATGATTCATGCAGCACTAAAATGACAATAAATGAAATTCCCATGTCAAAAATAATATCGGAACAACCAAAATATTGCTCGATGGAGAAGCATCCTTTGAACGTCACTTCCTTTTAAAAATAGGATTCTCCTTTTAGTTGCGTGGAATCGCAGTTAAGTTTTTTAAAAAATTAAATTAAATATGAAAAATTGAAATAAAAATTAAAATATAAGACATCAATAAAATTCAAAATATAGCAAAGAATTGCGATTACAAATGGTAATAAACAGATAATAGATATTTTATGATTTAAAAATAAAAAATGAGATAATTATTTTTTTAATAAATAGTACTCCTCCGGTCCTAATTATAAGACCCAATTGACTTATTTGAGGAGATTAAGGAAGTAAGTTAAGTTGGTTATTTATAATAAATAAGTGTTGTCATTCCTAAAATATCCTTGCTAATTAAGTATATTGGCTAAAACTATCATTATTAAAAAGATTGTCTTGGAAAAAAATGCATAAATATAAGAGACAAAATGGATTGGGTCTTATAATTAGGACCAAATAAAAAGTCAAATTGGGTCTTATAATAAGGACCGAAAGAGTACATATTTAATACTCCTCCGATCTTTAATACAGGACTCAATTCTTGAGTTGGTTTTAGTCCTAAATATAAGATCCATTTTTCATATTTATCAATTTTCTCTTAATTACCCCTATGAATACTCCCTCAAGTATAATCAAGTAGAAGAGGGAGAGGAGGTATTATAAAATATGTTTATGGTGTTTTAGGAAAAATGTGTCACTTTTCTTATAATTAACTAACTTACCTAACTTCCTTAATCTAATCAAATTATTTAAATGGGTTTTATATTAAGGACAGGAAGAGTATTATTTTTTGTGGGGCAGATTGAATATATGCCGTCAATGTCAACATAGCAAAAGTTAATCTTCATATAGAGGTATTTGGTTTTTGGCCGAAAAAAGTATAGAGGCATTTGGTTGGGATTTAAGTGCAAATTGTTGCGCGTCAGAGAATGCAATTTTCTCATAAGAATAAAAAGCATTCGTTTTGCTGTAACAGTGAATTCCAAAAAATAATTTTTAATTTAAAATTTATCATTTTAAATCTAAACTATTAAAATTATATCTTAAGAGTATAGATTCCAGGGATGTTTGAATTACTACATTTTTTTAAAAGCATTTTTTTAATAAATTAAGATAAACTCTTTTATATACTACTACCTCCGGTCCTTAATATAAGACCTAGTTTGACTTTTATTTTGGTCCTAAATATAAGACCCCAATATACTTTATCTCTCATATTTAGGTATTTTTTTCCAAGATAGTCCTTTTAATAATTGTAGTCTTAGTTAATATAGTTAATTAGTAAGGATATTTTAGAAAAAACAACACCTATTTATTACAAATAATTAATTTAACTTCTTTCCTTAATTCTCTCAAATTAGTCAACTGGGTTTTATAATTAGGACCGGAGGTAGTAGTATTTATTTTGTATATTGTACATTTTTTTTTTTTTGGGTCAGCGTAGGTGCTGAATCTGTTCTGTTTTGTCGGGGTGTGGGCTGTCGACAGCCGCTAATAGCGCTTCGTCGTTAAAAATCATGACGCGGCAGTGGGAACACGAAGATATATCCAAATTGGTCGTCAACACGTGTGTGTAGAGAACCTGAAACGAGTGGCCTTGTTTGACTTGTAAGGTTCAAGAAGCATCCCATCACAATGTTGGACCTCGGGTCCCCGCTCCATTGTTGAGTAGCCGAATTTTGACTATGATTAAGTTTTTATCATATCAATTTCTTTGAGATTAAATTCTGATTTAATCCATTAGATATTATAAACATATATATTATCTGAATATTATAAATTAAATCACTTATTTAATTTATATTATATTTAATTGGGTGATTATTTTAATTAATGGACTGAGCTAGTCAGCCGAAATATAATCTTACTCTATTATTTTATTTAATTAGGATGTTTTCTAATTTGCCAATCAAATAGTCCGGCCTATTAATGGCAGGCCCAAATCCAAAGTTCAACAAAAACCCAACCTTAAGTTTACTGGTAACGTCATTAAAAAGTAAAATTTGATTTTTGAGAGTTTTATTTTATTTTATTTTTTGAGATTTTTTATTGGATCAGTTAGGTGGGATTTATTTTTTGACTAAAGTATATATTTGATCTTTTAATTTTATACAAAATTTTAATTTAGTTTCTTAACTTAAAAAAATATATTTTTAGCTATTTAGTTCTAAAATCGTTAGACTTAAAGGATAATTTTTTTAATAAAAATCATGATTGTTTTGAAAATAAACTTAATATATTAGCATTTGAGAATGTTTTATCAACATTTAATATCTCAATGTCATTATGTTTTGTTAACAATTTCAATGTCAAAAGACTAAAAATATACATTTTAAAGCAAATACATCAAATCAAAACCCTATATAAAATTAAAAGACTAAATATTTTAACTTGAAATGATGTTGTTTTGATTTTAAAAGAATAGTTATTTATCAAATTTGTGCTTTACTAACTATATTTTATTCGATTACATATGCTTTTTATATGAATGCTACATTTATTTTAATATATTTTAATTTAAATATTATTCTTTTCAAGATTATATATGAATATCATTTTTCAGATTTTAATTAAATCATGCTATTGCCAGCCCCAAAAAAAAAAAAAATACTACTCCTCCGGTCCTAATTATAAGACCCAATTGACTTATTTGATGAGATTAAGGAAGTAAGTTAAGTTGGTTATTTATAATAAATAAGTGTTGTCATTCCTAAAATATCCTTACTAATTAAGTATATTGGCTAAAACTATCATTATTAGAAAGATTATCTTGGAAAAAAATGCATAAATATAAGAGACAAAATGGATTGGGTCTTATAATTAGGACCAAATAAAAAGTCAAATTGGGTCTTATAATAAGGACCGGAGGAGTATTATTTTTGCATGATTGAGTAGATCTCAATTTAACCACATTTTAGACATAATTTTTCGTTCTTGATATAGAAATATTTTGGTTAAAAAATAAAAATCTAAATAAAATATTAAATATTTTTTGTTTAGAAAAATTGTGCTCAAAATAAATTAAGTATATCGACATGCGAGCGAACGCAGTGGCAAACTTACACGTCTTAAACACGCTTTTTTTTTTTGGGCCATTAAAACACGCTTGTTAAATCAACAAAATGATAACCTTATCCCTTAAACTGGGTTTTGGAAACCGAGTTTCTATTACGAATTAATTCTCTGTTCCCCATGAAACCGTCTGGATTCCCTGAAACAGGATCGTTCACACTTCTAATTTGATTCTTTGTCGAGAATGAGAAATTTACATTCACACAATGTTTTTATCATATAATTTCAGCACCAAAATGTACAGATTATTGTGAAGTTACTTTTTTTTTAAAAAAAAAATCTGACTTATAAAACCAAAAAAAAAAAACAAAGCAACAATTCGATCCATAATTAGTGTTAGAATATTTTTAAAATAAAAAGATGTGTTTTTGAAAAATCATGTCTTTATGTAAATTTATTAAATTAGTAAATTTATATGAGTTGTTATGTCTTTATGTAAATTAATGAATTTATTTGAGGAGTTGTGTTTTCATATAAATTAATATATTTATACGAAGAGTTATATAGAAAGTTATAATACTAAAAAACACCACATATTAAGTATCTTTTATTTATTTAAATTATGCTGGTTTATGAACCAACATATGATTATGACTTTTTATTTAATAAGGTATCACTTCAAAAGGCATATCTTCAAGGCATCACTCTATGGTCTATATAAACCCCTCACCATCACTTCATTTGCACACAATACAATACAACACAAGCATATTAAGATCAAACACATTATCTTTATCTTTAAGTGTACGCAGAGATATAATCAAATTATCACTTTGTAAAAGTTATTATTATCTTGCCTTGAATTTTAAAAATGCAATCCATATTTAAGGGTCTTGATTGTGTTCGAAAAAAATTAGCTGGTCAATCTAACTTACACCCTATAAAATAAGAATACATGGAGACGAATTAAAGCTCAAGAAAAATGTCGCACCGGCCTTGAAAACAACGTGCAATGTGGATTACA